AGGTTCTGGTTAAAAAAGAGGGGGAAAAAAAATCTATTTTAGAATTAGAATGTGAGGCCTGGTCTCTTCTGACTTTTTCCCCCCCAACTATCAATCTCCATCCATTATCCTGACATGAATCTGCCCTTTCTTCCATCTGTAAGGCCTCCGTTTCTTTGGTAGCAACATCACACTTTCCTCTCTAAGCTTTACGTTCCATCTTCCCTTTTTTTCCCTCCGCCCTGTCTTTCTGCTTCCTTGCACCTCTTGGGATAACATAATTCAGAGGACAAGCCTTTCGAGACCAAAGGCTCTCGCTCGCTCCCCCCTTCCGTCGCTCTCTCCTTCAATCCTTCTCAGTAGGGTTCTCAGAGGGACAGTGATTACAACCAAGTGACTGCCGCCTCTGCCATGCCAATTAATGTGGGGGGCTTAAAGACGGAGCAAGGGGAAAGAGGGGAAAAAAGTGCCGGTGCCCACATCCCCATACATTATCATACTAAACAGGCTGGTGGGGCGTCTCAGCCCAACTGCTAGCTCTACAGCAGACACTTCAGGGACAGGTTCCCCCCCTAGCCAGACGTACTCAAAGTCAGGCATGTTTGCATAAACCGCCCCCGCTCTCCAAACAAGCTCGGCAAGGTGTCCCTCCGTGTTTGTCCTTATAGTCAAGGTGCCAACATCTGACATTATAGTATGGGTCGGCTTTGTACTCTATTAATTGGGTGTGAAATTACTGTCATTTCAGCCTCGGCACTCAAGGTGTCTCGGCGACTCTGGCTGCGGATGATAGGTGCAGAAAGCTCGGGCATATACCTTCCTTTACTGCACGTTTGAGCAGAAGCCCGTGCACGCATATGCTGCGACGCGTCTCGCAGCAAAGCGCGTTAAAGTTACAATCCATCAAACTAGCATCGCCGGTCCTCCTCCCCCGATGAGTGATGATGCTCTCAGTGGCATTGTGGCCAGTCGACTATGCATCATGACCCCTAACATACATCAGCTGTGCTCAGTTCCGGCACAAAAAAAAAACTCCACATCACTGTGACGCGAAAGGATAAGAAAAAAAAACCATCACGCTAGTTTGCTTTAATTGCACCATGACAGCTCTGTGGAGCTTGTTAGCTCGGTACAAGAAGGACTACAAGAAAACGGTCACTCACGTAAGTCACGAAACACGGAAATGGTGACATTTTGGCAGAGATGATTGGGATTATGAAGTCAAAAGTTAGTCGCAATAATTGGTTACTGCACCTAAAAGAACCTTCACTTTGAAAGAAATTAAAGACTGAAGGTAAAAACAGAAAATCTACAAAAGGTCAGGGCTCCGATATGACTACTCTAATTAGTGTTAACTTGGAAGGAGATGAGGTCTTCCTCTTCAGCGCAAAGTCTCGTGCTCTTTTGTGAGCAAGAGGGCCTTTTCATTCGACGGTACATCGCAATTTTCTTTTAATACCAGACACGAGCTGCACTGAAGCTTTCATCCTCGACAATATCCAAACACAGGACCTCTTGCTTTTTTTTTTTTCGCATTGCTTTGCCTTCAGGAAACATTTCGAATTACTAAGCAAGTCCACCCACATCCATTTCTAACCTCAAATATGTACTTTTCAACTTCTCTTGACTACACTCTTTGTCTTACTACTTTAAGTTTTTCTTCTTTTGAATGTTTTTCTTTCTCTCTTTGCCTTCCCCCCCCGCCCCCCCTAATGTGTGTCTTCTTCCAGCATTTAGTCTGAAATGAGAGTCCACATTCAATCTTTGTGAGTCGTCTCAGCGAGCCTCTCTAAATCTGGCTCTCCACGTCTGCAGTAGCCCTCAATTCCGGCTTAATGCTCATATTAATGCTGCACGTTGATGCAGGATTAATATGATTGGCCATGTTTTTCTCCGCAGAGTTGGCCTCAAGGGACAAAACCAGACACGGAGACAATAATGCTTTCAGATCCCCCAAAAAATAAAAAAAATAATTTGATAAACCATATCGATGGAAATTTAAAAACATCAAACCAGACCGAACAGCCAACATGACTCTAAGCTGAGTAATCAGAAGATTTAAAGAGATAATACGCCTCCGTTGCCCGTTCCTGTTTATTCCAGCAATCAAATGATAAGCAAAAAAAAAACCCTATTATTTATCTTTGTTGCTCAATAGTGAGATATCCACCATTTGGAAAAATTGGCACCTCTTAAAAGGTGATCTGAAGCACAAAATTGGGACAAATTATGGTGGAGTTTGTGCTGCTGTATCACCACAGGCCATTAACACTAGTTGGCAATGTTGTTTGTCTCCTTTCTCTCTATTGTGTCCACACCAATTTAAATCAAGCTTTTCTGTCGTCTGCTAATAATTATTGTTGCGCCGAACGCAGCGCGGGTCAGAGGATGTTGTGAAATGTGTGCGAGGGACTTAAAAAAAGGAACGTTTTTGTTAGGTTTAGGTCAGAAACAAATAGCTTTGGTCAAGATTTGGCAACTCGGATAATTTGTTTTGCCTAAAAAAATGCTGGAAATTCAACACCTTTCTCATTAGAGAAGTCTTTTCACTAAATCTGGACCTGGTTCATCCGGGTTAAAGGTTAATTCTTGAGTCAGAATTCACCATCCTGACCTCCGGCGACCTTCTGTTCTACAGTGCAGCGATGTGTAAAACTGCAGCTCCCCGAAATTGTTATTAAAGCGTGATATTAAAGTTCTATTCGCCCTGTAGTACTTACCAGCCCTCTTCCAGTGTGGCCTCCTCACACATATATTTTAATTTCATTAACAGCAGCCTACGTTTTCGCGGGCCAAAGTTGGCGGTGGCAGTACTTTGACATTTTGAAAGCACAAAACCTTTTTATTAAAAACAAAACTAAGAGAGTCATATGTGGCAAATTCGGCATCGTATCCTCGCAAGCCGTGTCAGTCTTTCAAAAAAAAAAAAAAAAATTAAGAAATATAAGCCTGTCTCAGCCCTCCTACACACCCGCTTCCACCGCGCTCAGGGTGTCATACGGCTTGATGGGAAGCCGGCGAGGTCTGAGGGTAATTGCCTTTTTGTAAAACGCGAGTCAAAATGCAAATTTATGTCAACATTTTCTCAGGTGTTTCTACTTTTATTGAATAACTCGGAACAACAGAGTACAAACAAACCGCGACTTGTGACAGGTCTATAAATAATATCTCTGAGCACACAGGAAAAACCCGGTTTGAATTGCTGATTGCAATCATGAACACCATTAATGAAGCTTCCCAAGTGCAAATACAGTATCTCTTGTTTGGATCAGAGGTTTTTTTCTTTCGTGTCACACCGAGGCAGTGCTTCCATGCTAATGTGGAACCTGTACAATAACTGTCCTGCGGCATGTAAGTGCGAATCCTGAACGTCCAAACGGAGAGGAGGAGGAGGAGGACATGCTGATTAGAAGAACAGCATGCCACACTGTGCTTGGCTTAATTGTTTCACGCAAACAATAGCGTATAGTAAAGACTGTATAAGCCCAATTCAAAATAGGCTCTACCTCAGGCCAAACACTACACCTGTTCTCTTTATCCCCGTACTCGTGACGTCTTTATACTGCTCATATAAAAACTGCACTTTCACCAAGATGCTGAATCTCCGCCACATCATCTGCGGAATCATTAATTTTGCATTAGTTAGCAAAAAAAAAAAAAAACATTTAAAAATAGCCGTCTAATGAGCCAGCGGTTAACATCATAAACACAATTGGCTTCTGAATCACTCTGCTGTGTCAGATCTAATTAATATTGAATAATAAGTATTTACAAACAAATCGCACACTATACATAACTAATGCCGGGCTTTGATTAGCTGACTCATTAATCAGGCCTGGGTTTTCTTGCCCATTCATCTTGCTCCATCTTTCATCCGAGGCAGACGTGCAGTCAGTTTATCCCCTACTGTATTTATTTTAATTCTGTCCGAATACCATTAATCAGCAGGCACTTCTTTATTACTTATGTGCTCAGCAGCAATAAAGCATTAATTGGTTATTCAGGGAATACGGAAACAGAAACAAAAAAAATTGGAACAATCAGTCAGCTGATGTGGAAGTGATCGTCTCAGGGATATGGCACAAAAAAATAATAATAATCATAAATGGACCAGAGGGCACGAGCTGTATGTTTCTGATATGATGCAATATGACTGTAATGAACTGCCAAATATGAGAAAAAAAATTTTCAATCAAGTTTTCGTGCAGCTTCCTATCTGACTCCGGTTCGCGAAGCTTTGAGGCCGAGATGCTCAGCTCACAATGTGAATGGGCTTTTATGCGTTCGCTGAGCAAGCGACGCTTTTAGCAGCAGATGCAGCACAGAGACTAAGAGACTGACATGTTTACAAATGGCTCATTAGTACTTCTGCATAAATATAAAGTGTCCTCCTAAATGGGTTTATGTTGCCTGCTATTAAGTCAACGGCATAATCAGATGTGGGTGTTTTCCTGCAGTGCAGACACTAACCAGTGCACCCAGTTGGGTTTATTTTGTTTTTTTGTTTCCACACTCTTTACAAGCTACCAACTCTTCTGGACTATATTCATTTTCAGCCTGTCATTGCACCTCTCTCTCTTTTGCATCTCCACAGCCAGATTCTATATTGGCACCAGCTGCCCCTCGCTCACCCTCCACCTCTGTCCCTGTAGTTATTACACCCGTCTGTGTTCCCCCCACCACCACCACCACCACCCCCAACTCCCCCAACCCGCCCCCTGTGGACTGTTTTCTCTGAGTACTGCAGCAACACCAAACCGGCTATAAATCACATTGCATTATCACCGCGCCGTGCTTTCGTTGCTCCTTGCGCCTCGGCCCGCCCACCGCGCTCTCTCCGATTGGCCGGCGGAGCGCTCCTCGGTCCGGCCCCTGCGAGCGGGACATCGGCGCGATCGTAAAATCCCGCCTCCTTCCTCGGGGCCCGGTGATTGGGAGAAAGGGGGCTCTCCTTGAACTGTCAATCATGCGCTTTTTCTTGTGCGCCTCACATTCGGTGCCGCTGCCTGCGACGCGCTGAGTGCGGAGCGACGAGACGCGCTGCATACCAACAGAGACATACGGAGCAGGCAGGCAACCGTCTCTCTCTCTCTTTTTTTTATTCTTCTTCTTCTTATCAGGACGCACGGATCCTTTATCCCGTTCTCTGGCAACAACAACATTAAAAAAAAAACACCTCATGCCAAATCGTTGGACTGTTTAAATGTTACCTTCACTTCCTTTGCAGAAAAATCTGTGCTGCTCTTTAAGGTGCTGAGAGCCAAACTAAGTGTCTGGGATATTTTTTTATTTTTTATTTCTCTCTCTCTCTCCTCTACTGTAATAATTTGCTTGAGAGATTCTGCACCGGAGAAGATAAACCAGCCCTGCCCGCCTCTCTCTCTCTCTCTCTCTCTCTTTCTCTCTCTCTCTCCGACGGGGAGTCATCACAAGGAAAAGTCAAGACAGATGTTTTCGTCCACTCACATGTAGAAGCGTTGGACTACTGCTGTTCACAATCTGGGTCGGGCTTTTTTTTTTCTTCTTCTTCTCTCTCTTTTATAACAAAAAGAATCGCCCGCAACGGTGCGTTAAAGGAGGAATATAGAGACATTTGGCTGCAAGAAAGAAAGAAAAAAAAAGCAGAAAATCAATCAGAACTCCATCATGGGCTGCCCCCTCTTGCGGAACGCGTTGGCTGCTGGTTTGGTGCTGGTTCTGCTGTCCAAAGGTAAGTTCTCATTTCTACTTTGACGATGGCGGTTCTGTGGGTTTGCGATGTCTGTGTTTTTTGCCTTTTGATTTTTTTTTTGTCTTACAAAAAAAAAGAGCGGTTGTGGAGGTGAATACTAATGATGGAGGGAGGAGAGAGGGGTGGGTGGTGGGGGGGTCTACCTGCTTGTGAATCACGCGTGTCTGCTGTTCCACTACGCTCCAGCTTTCTATTTGCTGTAGATGTAGAGAAATGTGTTTTGTATGCGTCCGTGCGTGCGTGGACGCGTGCCCGTGAGCGCAGCGCCCAGGTTCGTCTCCAAAGCCCAGCCAGCCAGCAGCAGCCTCGTGTTTTTTTTTTTAAAGAATCGAGTGATGCATGTTAAGGTGTTTACTATGAAGGAGAAGAAAAAAAAGATAGACTCCCATCTTCTGTGAGCACATTCCTTTACGTGACATGAATGGCCCCGGCATCCCCACGCGCCCGACGCATCATCATCAATGCGGGTGGGGGGGCTGTGGAGTAAAGTGCGTGTAAGAAGCATTGCGGGGAGAGTCGAGAGAGAGAGGGAGAGAGAGACAGTGTTTTGTTCTCGCTCTTCAAAACCAAGGTCGAGAGAGACACAGAGGGGGGATAAATGGTAAAGGATGGACAGTTGGGAGGGCTTGGGGGAGTTCGACGTGAACTGGCTGCCTAGTCAAGCCTTAATTCCCTTCTTTTTATCACTGGCATAAAACATCCCCCCCCTCCTCCTCCTAAAGCTCCACAAAACAGACTTCATTTTTTCCCTCTTTTTTTTTTTTATACCCTTCCTCCAGTTAAATCAGTTTACAGCGAGGAGATAACTTGAACAACCACAAGATGCAGATGGAGCTTCTTTTATTATCAGACAGACAGTATCCTCCGGGGGGGGCCGTCTTTAAACCTTGTTGCATTTTTCATAATGTCAGTCCTCCTAATATTCTCGCCATGCTATGGGATGTCCCGTCATATATTACTGCACACACACATACACCTGGCTCAATTAGGCCTGCCTCAGTCCGGTGGGAAATCAGTATATAAATAAATTACTCTGGCCCTTAATAACAATAATTGATGTGTCAGTGCAATAAGATGTGAGGTTAACAACCTGCAGATGCAGACGGGGCTATAGCCTCCTGCTCCTGAGCTCCTTGTGGGCAGGAGAGCCCAGCTGGTCATGGTTGGCTTACCACAGCAAGCCCCCTTCTCCACACCAGGCGGAGAGCAGACGGTCAGCCCTGCAGGACGCGCACAGCACACAAACACAACGGGGCCGCACAGAGCAGCCCCCCAATATTGAATCTCGTTGCAGGTTTCGGCCCTTTTTTGACTTTTTTTTTGCCACGTGAAGGTGCGACCAGTCGTGCGAGCCACGCTGGAAGAATGATTGGATATTGATGCACGCTGCAGCATGCGAATCAGATTGAATCCAAGAGAGGGGATTCGAGTTGCTGTGGGTCCACAACACGTCCATCTTTTAAATGTGTAGGGGGGGGAAAGCATGCATTATAAAGGAAGAACATGACTGTTAAAAGGGCACCGTTCACTGCCTGATAAATCATGCAGCAGTGGAATAATCCTTCGTATCTGTGCCCCTGAGAGTCAGGCGAGGGTTTTTTTTTTTTTGTGTGGTTGCTTAAATGCTTCACCACCGCTGTTAAGCAGATTTGGCGAGAGTTATTATTGCCAGTTTAATGATGTACAAGAAAAAAAATCCCTCTGAATGACTACAGAGCTGCAGTGTTTTATCCATTTGTAGTTGTTTCATCCTCTGATTGTCGCCCGCTGACATTATGCACAACATATGTTATGTAAGAGAGGAGCATTTTATTGGACATACGCTCAGAAACCGAAATGTGTTTCATTACCAGCAAGGTTGGGGGAAAAAGAGCGTTTTCAGAGCTGCAGTACATCATGAGGCTGTTCAAGAGTTTCCTTCTGAACTGGTATGTGATTGCATGAAGTACCTCATGGGTATGATGGCCGTAAAGAAGTGGCCATCACACAAGTGGCTATAGAGTATTGGCCATCACACCCAACATGGTATGGCCGTTTATTTTCTCTTTTTACTCTTTAAAAAAAACAGAAGTACCATAACTCTAGAAAGGCGGATTGCCAAGCAGCCACTCATACACACAGTTAAATACCTTCAGATATCTGGCACTCAAAATTACCCGTTTCATCGGCGAGGCCAGACGATGATGAAACGTTGAGGCTGGAATGTATCCGCGCACACACACCTCCGCGCAAAGTTACCCTCTACTCAAAGGAAACCTGCAATATCGATTAATGAGAATAACGCTGATTCAGAGAAAAGGTGACGAGAGGAGCCGCGTAAAGGTCACAGCAGAGGACGTTTGAGGTCATATCAACGGACATCCGCGTTTAGACGACTAAAGGATCGGATTCCTGCCTCACAGACATCCACTGATCCCTAGGAGGAAATTCCGCCTCCACGCTGCACTGTATAAAGTACATACGTCACTAATGTTCAAACAGTCCCAACAGATGGGTCTTCCCGCCAACAGGATGAGGTTCTGGTAAGAGGAAATGTACGGGGCAGGAGCACAGGTGAAACAAGCGGGGTTGCTTTGTAGCCCGCCATCCTTCTTGCTTCGGCAACATATGGGGGCCAAGTGGGGTCAATGCACATTGCACATGGTAGCAACGTATCCACCCTCCTTCCCTGTGACCACACACACACACACACACACACACACACACACACACACACTCGACTGGATCACCAGTCTTGGCTTGGAGATGAAGAGAAGGGAGATGCCAGCTTCAACAGATGCCTTGTGCTCCTATTCTGGAGGGGCCTCTGCTTTTTCTCCCTGTCTTTGAAATCCACGGTTTCTGTGTGCTGTTGTTCTCCATGTTTGGCTTAGAAATACTCTGCCATTTTGGCAGGTTTTTATTTATCTGCAAGTGTTGGAGTGAGAGGGCCTGGATTTGGACTGAAGAGCCTTGGGGACAAGTGTTGGAGGTGTAACCATGCTTGGAGTGGGCCTGTGGTCTGAATGTTCTCCCCAAAGGTTTCACTTTTGTGCTGTTGTGCGGCGGCCTGTGGTGCAGCAGCAGCAGCAGCATCCAGCATCTCGCACCGAATCTGTTCCTCACACACACACAAACTGGAGCAGATTGCACCTTAAAAAACATTCAGCTACGTTTCGACCCAGGATTGGCAGAGACAGGTGGTGTTTTGGAAAATTAATAAGTGAGTTTGATGCTGTATGTAAACCTCATTTTAATTAATGGTTGAGAATTGATGCGTTAAGATTTTAACATGGCCCCACAACGTTTGGTGAATAACGCATGGCGTGCTGCTGAGGAGGAGCGAGACGTGTTTCAGTTTCGATTGATTTTGATGGTACGCAGGTGTAGGCTGTCAGTGAGCGCTGTTCGGGTAAAAAGCAGAAAGTGAGAACAAACTTTTTTTCAGTCTTAAAGCGACAGAAACGTTTTATAAATGCACCAGAAGTTCATCAAAAAAAAAAAAAAGTCATTAGTACCCGCTGAAGATTTTGTAGAATCACTTCAATTATCTGACTTAAATGGCTCCTCTCATTAATTTAGAAATGAAATGGCTATTGTACCATGACTTCAGTCTTCAGTGAACGTATAGCAATGAATCCTAAAGTACCCAACAGCCCACCGGCAAGTATTTGTATTGGATTTCAAGGTGTTAAGAATCCGCATCAGGAACGATAAAATTCAACCACTTCATATCATTTTATGTTGTGAAATTTAGCTCACGGCACATGGCAGAAACAAACACACCGAAGCAGACCGATCAATCCGTTAAACAGATTCAAAGAGAGAAGTATGAGACATGACATTCAGACAATGTGAAACAATGTGAGGCGGCACAACAGCTACGACCAGCAAGTAAGAACGAATAAAACAAAAACAGCAGAATAAAAAACAAAAGGGGATATTTTTCCTGTAAAGAAATGTTGAGAGGTGAAGCGTCTTTAACAGGCACGTCTATAAAAGAAGCCACTTTGGTGTGGAAGGTGTCAGTGGTAGTTGTAGGGAATGACCCGAACATTAATTTTGCTTTTGTTAGATTAATTGGTTTTCTTTTTGGTATTTGGTTTTGCTGTATTTCCAATTATCGGCCCGACAGAGATGAGGGACCCCTGAGCTCTTGACCTTACGACCTGTCAGGCAGAAGCTGGAAGCTCTGGAGGTGTTAGCAGCTATCTGGCCCCGGCGGTGACCGAGAGGTCGCAGGTTCAAATCCTCTGAGGACGCTTTGGCCTCGGTGCCGCCGTGGCTGCAGCAGCACCTTTCCTGCCCTTGAGATTTCTCCTGTCGGTTTTGATAAACACTTCACTGGGCTTCACATATTGGTTTGGGGGTGTTGGCAATTACACATAGTGTCAGTGTCATAAATAATGATTACGGCAAGGCTTGTTTGCAATTATAATTACAGTTATAATATATGGAGTTCAGTGTAATGGAAAGTAACTGGGCTCGCTTTCAACTTGGGACAGGTAGTTATACCGTGTTTAATTACTGTAGTAATTCGCTTCGTTACAACCTCCCCTTATCCCCCCCCCGCGTCCCAGCTCGCAGGCCGGCGTCGGTCCGGGTGTGAATATGAACATGAGCTGCGGTTTCTCGCTGTAACGGATGAAAAACGGCTATGTTTTATTTAGTGCAGGGGAAGGATCATTCAAGAGGGAGCAGAGTGGCTGCAGAAGCTGAAATGAGTGGCGGCTTGCTCGCACACTCACATCAACCATCGCCCACGAAGGGACACACACACACACACACACACACACACACGAGCAGCCTTACAGAGAGATAAACATATGCATGCACACAGTCTGGAGTAGCTCTTCTGCTTGAGCCACTGGGAAGATGAATTTCAACAATTTCCACACTAAAGGTGTTTGCGGTAAATCGATGGAAAGCCATCAAGGAACGGGACATCTTTATACATGCAGCAGTGTGGATATTAATAACCCTCATTGATCTCTTTTCAA